AATTTAAGTTCTTTTGTTACACTAAGTTATGTTTTAATCTTAACTTGTCTCAATCTCAAGTTATTGATATCGTCATATCTATATAGTCACACAATTTGTATGTAGAAAATTGTATTTGTCTCTAAAGTCATACAGATATTCTATAAATATTACAAAATTGTATTAAGACAAATGTAAATGTAACCGTTTAATTATTATAACTATATAACAACTTATTAACATGTGAAACCGAATTAGTACATTATAAATACAATGTCCAGTTTAAGACATACAATTATAACTCATTTTGAATCATGTATTTTATGTAAAACTTTTCTTTATAAATAAAACGAATTAGTTACTAACAAAACGATTGTTCAACTAAATTTATAATTTAACTATTTAATTTTTGTATAAATGTATTATGTTAGTTTTACGTTGAAATGACGCAACATCAATATGGAATTGCATCATCCGATATGACATCACCGGGCCCATATAATGGCGCCCCAGGCCCCAGCATTCCCTGACACTCGCCCCCGCGAAGCCACAGCGGACGGACTTAAATTCAGGAAACCCCTATTTTCAGAAGCGAGACGCCATACCAGACGGACTTAAGTTAAGTGAGCCCTAGCTTGTCTTTAGTTTATGTGTCTATTGTTATTTTCGCAATAGTAAAAGAAAGTGTATATTTGTTTGACACTTATTGTATATAAATTAAAGCAATAGTGTTTCAACCATATTCATGTCTTCTTATTTATGTGTCAGTTTACAATTTTTAATTAAAAGAGTTTTATATACAAATTATATAATTATATATATAAACGATTAACTACATTTTTAATATTAAAGTTTTTATAAATCTTTTATCAGAAGTGGGATACGAATCAATACAGTGAATACAATACCCCACGCCATGTTTGCTCGCCTAGTTTTATATATATATATAATTTTGTTTTTCTCTTTTCTCTTCTTTATATATATATATATATATTTTTTTTTTTTTTTGTTGAAATAAAGATATTAACGTGTACTTTAAGTACTTATAAAGGGGTGTGACACGTAATTTGTTAAATATATTGAGAGATTTTGATGATGCAAATGGATTATAAATCTCTAAAAAGAAGGCAGTGACGTATTCATATACTAGCAATTGATTTTTGTGCTTAAATTTGTGACGTATTGTTTTAGCCGAACATAGTAAAAATGAAAACCCCTCACTTTAAATGAATAATTGGAATACAACCAGCATCAAAAAAAAAATATATATATATAACATATGTATAAAAAAAAAAAACTTTTTTTTTTTTTTAGATGGATTCTGCTGTACTAGAAGGTTTATTAATAGCCATCAAGGATGCTGTATCTGGCAACCGTGGTGAAGACGACGTTGTATTGCCACCATTTGATCCAGATAAAAATGACAATGGCGCAGAAAGCTGGTGCAACAATATCGACACTATAGCTAAGGATCGTGGATGGAGCAGCATCACTACTGTTAGCAAAGCCGGTAAAACCCTTAAGGGATCTGCTCTATTATGGTTCGAGACATGGGATCCCGATGAAGGTAGAACATGGAAAAATTTTAAAAACAACATTATTGATTTGTACCCTGAAAAAAAAAATCTGTCAGAAAAACTTTCGAAATCTGTGCTTTATACCTCGGATGCAGCAGATACTTATTGTGAATATGCGAGGGAAAAATTAAGGTTATTGCGTAATACTAAGGTAGCGTTTTCTGAAGTACAGCTGGTCGAGCTTGTTTGTGGTGGTATAACAGATGTTAATATTAGAATGGCATCTTTTAATAGTCGTGTCAATAGCACGTCGGAACTTATATCTCTTTTTACAACATACACGAAAAATCCCAGAAAACGACTATCTGATACAAATACTTTGCCTAATAATTTAGCTATTAAACGTCTTAAATCGGAAAATTCACACTCCTTCAGATCACCTATTTGTTATTTATGTAATAAAACGGGTCACGTCAGATCTCAATGTTTCAAAAACAGAAACAAAGGTATTGTAACCTCTGATTTATCTAACATTCAATGTTCTTTTTGTAAAAAGATTGGTCACGATGAATCGGTTTGTTACTTTAAAAAAAGAGATGCGACAAAAAATAATAACAGTATCAATTGTTCAACAAATAGTTATTTGTCGCTTACTGATGTGATAATCTGTGAGAAACCAATTAAAGCTTTAATAGATTCTGGTGCCAGTTGTAGTATACTAAAAAAATCTATTGCAAATAATTTTGGTCGTAGTTTGGAACCATATTCAACATTGTTGCAAGGAATAGGAAATGGGAAAATAAGCATCTTTTCAAAGATTAGTTTGCCTGTCAGAATTGGTAATGAAGATTTAGAAATAGAATTTTGTGTAGCCGACGATTCGGAATGCAATTATGACTGTTTAATAGGTAGAAATGCGATTCAAAATTCAGATATTGCCATCATACTAAATTCCAGTGGGTGTATGCTAAAACGAGTAAATCATACAGCACCAATTAATAATCCAGTACTTTTCAATGGTATGAATGATCATCTCGAGGAGTTGATGGAGTTAACAAGTCATCTTGATTTAAGTCTACGACAAAAAATTAAAAATATTTTTGATAAATTTCCGGAAGTACTGCCAAATTCAAACTATATTAGTACAGTTAAAACTGCCGAGATGACGATTAAGTTAAAAGGAGATGACATAGTTTATTATAGACCATATCGATTAGCAGTTACAGAAAAAGAAAAAGTTCAGGAAATAATTTCAGATTTACTTAAAAAGAATATAATTAGAGAAAGTCAAAGTCCATTTGCCAGCCCAGTCATTTTAGTAAAGAAAAAAGATGGCAGCGATCGTCTATGTATTGATTATAGGGCTCTTAACAAAATTATTGAAAAAGATAGGTACCCATTCCCATTAATTGAAGATCAAATTGATAAATTAGG